AATGAGAATATTGAGAAAAAGAAAGAAATGAGGAGTTCAAGAATTACAAGAGTACCAAAGAAGTTTCAGGATTATGTTACATTTTAAAAACAAAGAAAAAGGAAGGGAGATGTACTGATAGTTGTATTTTCGATGTGTTTAACATTCTGTATATTGGGCGAGTTGACAAGATGTTATGTATGTATGTCAGTTAGACGGCAATAAAGTCATAGAGTTCATAATATTTGGAAATATTGTATTTCTATTTTAGTAGAAGATCCGAACCTAAGTCGACCTTCACCGAGCTGATAATAGAACGAAATATATTTTATCATGAATTTAGTATATTAGAAAACATATTAAAAATGGGTTGCCTAAAAAAATCCTGGGCAGACTATTTTTAATTATTTTTCGAAAAATTATTTTTAATTAAATGTTGCAACATCAGGATAATAAAAAAATTGTGTCCTGACTGAAAGTATGAAACGTATAGAATGTGCAGCCGTTGGGGTGTCTACTATTTACCTGGGCGAACTACTGGATTGTCAGGTAAACACAGGTATATCGATGCCAGTTACTTTCACTGGATTGGATAATTTAAAAAAATGTATATCATCATAAGCGCTGTTTAATTGCGAACACGTTGATATAGGGTTGTCTGCGAAAATTCCGGTCCGATTAGGGGTTTTTAATTTCAACGTGCGTGGAAGTGTGTGACAGAGAGATCCGAGGTAAGTATACTGTGTGATAATAAAGGACCCAACATCGCAGTCGCTTGTGATGGGACCCTGAATAGTAGAAAGTGTGCGAAGTCAAATCCTGAAAACTATGGTTGGCATTTTGATGATTTCTTAAAACCAACAGGTTTTATCGGAGATCAAACTCCTTTGAAAATCCAGGACATTGTCGAAATGGAAGCAAATGAGGAAGAATCTAATGAATCAGACGAATTCGAGAGTCAAAATGATACTTCTGATGAATCAGATATTGAATAGAAAATATTTATTAGAATTTATTTTTCATTAATATTATTTTTGTATTTATACTGTTTTTTAATAAAATTTCAAATCGTAATACAAGATGTCTAGTCTATCTTTTTTGTTATTTCTTAATTTAAATTTTTGGCGGTCCACTTTGTTTCTATTTCCAGAAAGAGCAAAACAATTTCAAAGTAAGTATTTGATATTTTTATTGTCTATTATAGATTATAGATATATCATTATGGTTATAACGCAATATACTGATATTATATTGTTTTTATATATTAGTATTATATTAAATATATTTAATTATTATGTAATTAATTAATTATTTTTTTTTGCTACTGAAATATCAGTTGCTCCAAAATAACACGCACTGTTTACTATATGAAGGGTAGTAGAGGTACCTCTACCCTCCATAGTTTACACACCGAGCATGCGCACTTTCTACTATTCAGGGTCCCATCACAAGCGACTGCGATGTTGGGTCCTTTATTATCACACAGTATACTTACCTCGGATCTCTCTGTCACACACTTCCACGCGCGTTGAAATTAAAAACCCCTAATCGGACCGGAATTTTCGCAGACAACCCTATATCAACGTGTTCGCAATTAAACAGCGCTTATGATGATATACATTTTTTTAAATTATCCAATCCAGTGAAAGTAACTGGCATCGATATACCTGTGTTTACCTGACAACCCAGTAGTTCGCCCAGGTAAATAGTAGACACCCCAACGGCTGCACATTCTATACGTTTCATACTTTCAGTCAGGACACAATTTTTTTATTATCCTGATGTTGCAACATTTAATTAAAAATAATTTTTCGAAAAATAATTAAAAATAGTCTGCCCAGGATTTTTTTAGGCAACCCATTTTTAATATGTTTTCTAATATACTAAATTCATGATAAAATATATTTCGTTCTATTATCAGCTCGGTGAAGGTCGACTTAGGTTCGGATCTTAGACTATTTGTAGAACCCCAAATAGCTCTACAGTACAGTAATATTCCTGCAGGTCATGATACGCTTCTTGAATGGGGAATTGTTTAACCTCCATCCTGAATTTTTTTATGTAACCAATTTCTCGTGAATTACTCTGACAAGTGATTGTAAATTTTTTCGCTATCATTTTGAATATAATTTTCTATTCGAGTCATCTTCGGAATCGGCAGAGATAGGTGAGTGTCATTTCTGGTGGACATAATATGAATCACCGGGTTTTTGTTCGATGTATGATGTCGGGTGTGGATCAAACAGACTGTTTTCAAAATGAAGTGGCAGGTGAGAGTAATAATAGTAATATGTTAACTGATATGAAGTGGTCTGCAATGGTCCCTTGCTTCAGCCTTACACAAATAGCGAATTGCCCTATTCTGTAGAAGTAAGATATAATTCATCAAATTTTGGCTTCGAAAACCCAGATAACTATGCCATACCTGATATGAGACTCTATGAGAGGTAAATACGTGTTTCTGGCTATAGCAGGTCCAAACTCATTTGATACAACTCTAGTGACATAGCAACCTGATGCAACCTGATGACGTTATATGCTCTTGAAACCCTAATACTCTGACAATATGTTCACCTAGGAATTCAGTACTTGTTCTGTTTTCAACTTGGTGTGTACACAATGACAAATTTTCAAACTCAAATTTGAAGGTGATGATATCTGTTCTCTCCACATTGAAGCATAGAGAGTTTGAATCGCATCAAGGTTTGACTTCGTCGAGTTCCTGGCTACAACTGTTTTCAAGTTTTCTACATTTTCTCCATGGCAAATGAGGGTAACATCGTCAGCAGATAAAGTGAAGTTTTCCGTGATTGGTAAGCTTGTCAGAACATTTAGGTACAATAGAAATAGAACTGGGCCAAGCACTGATCCTTGAGGAACTCCTGATTTGGCATGTGAGAAGTCAGAAGTTTCATTAGAAATTTCAACAGTTTGTTTTTTCTGAAGAATGTATGATTCAAACCATTTGGAAGCAACTCCTCTGAATCCATCATGATATAGTTTTCCTAGCAGTATTCTGTGGTAAACACAATATTGAATACTATTGTGTTGATGATTGGAAGTTATACCGTGAGATAAATCACTCCAGAGATTGTCAATAATTACTAAATAACTTGGTGATTTCTAAATAATTGGTTTATTGAAATGATTTGCTCCTCAATAAAACCAAGGGTGAAGTAATGATATTCTTCTGTAAGTAAGTATGTTCCTCTCATTACTAATTATTAAATGTCAGATCAACAACTATCGACGGATTCTGAATGCACAGATCTAGGTGCTATTTTCGGTTGAAGAGCTCAACTCACTTCAATACCGTAATTGGCCAGGCCAATCGTTATTCTGATTTTCTCATTTTAAACTGTCAGGAATTTTATTATTTCAATGCTTCAGGTAATTTTCTCTACTCAATGGGAGAAAGCAAGCTGAAATATTGTGGCGTCATATGAAACCTCAGGTTAAATAAAATATCATGTAGATTCATTGAAAGCTGTCTAGAAAAAAAATTGAATATGCTTCTTCTGAAAATAGTTATTTATTATACAAGGGGAAAAAGTTGTAGATTTTAGCTCACGGTTTTTTGTCTAAAATTGTCAAAAATTTTTCTTGTGTATAATACACTATTTTTTTCTGTGACAGAAGAAAGGACGAATCAATATTGAGAAGATATTACATTAGTTTGAAATCTGAAAATTGTCGACGTGAAATTTTAAGTTTTTAACAGTAGAGGGACACCTGCGTTGTAGGCATCTTTATCATTCTTTTGAAGTAATCAAATATCTGATGTCACTTCTATCAGTCTAATTCTGTGATTTGATCTCAAGAAATTGCGAATTTAGTGGTTGTTTAGTATCGCGAAGTCGAATGGAAGATAAAAGGACTTGCAGTTCTTCCTCGGAGACGGTATTATTGATTCATTTTTCGGAACTATAGCACAACAAGAGCCATCAACAGTGTATTTACATCCGGGAAAAAAGTACTCACTTTTTTTCCACGAAAAGGAAGTAATTTATGAAAAGTGACATTTCATAACCTGCCAACAGAGATGGCAAGCCAAACTTTTTTCCCGTCACAGAAAAAACATGGTATCATGACAAAGGGTATGATCATAATTCACTGTTCAAAAAATTCGTTATGTTCTCAATGAAGGAACAGAGAGAGATCGCTATTCTTGTTTCTCTATACGAACTCATCAACAAGGTTGTCTTTGATGTCTGAAGAATCACGTCTAGAACAAATACTACCTGGCACTTGGTATCATCTAATACGCAAAACCATTACAGTCCTCTTCCGAATATGTGTAGAATTTTCAATATTTCGAAAACTGTCAATGTCGACATATCATTTTTGTCATAACGAGCATTCAAGAGGAAATTTTTCAGTGTTATCTAGGATGATTGATTATGTTCTTTATCGATGATCACTAGCGATCAGCTCATTCCTGTAAAATACTCTTGTTATGAGGCAATTAGCCTGTTGGGTGTTTAATTATCAAATACATAAATGAATTAAGCAAGGCAAGGATATGACGCCTGTTTGCGAAGAATAACAGATCTGTTTAGGGACATAATCAGGGGCCTCAATGATGTATATTGAGATTCCCACAGAAATTCTTTACAATCCGAATTGCCTGTCTTCTTGGTGAGAATAATAAACGCATATCGGGTTCCTTCCATGAACCTCTTCCCTGACAATATGTGCCTCACATACCAACTGGTTTCTTTGTGAGATCTTACGAAACAATCAATACCTAGTTGCACAAATAGATTTTCCAAGAACCTCTGGATAAACTATGGTATATCATTTTTCGATTATCATTAAGACCACGATACTAAAGACCTTGTCGCTGCTGGTGACACAAACACTTGGAAGACTGTGTGCTCTAAATCGGAACTGGGTATTATGTTGGTATTTGATGATGAATGTGGCATAATTATCGAGTCAATCGTTTTTTTCCGATAATCGATACCTATCATTGTCTCCCTATAACGTTTGACTCTCATTGAATGAAATATATTCCATAGGTTATCGGCCAAAGCAGTTCTGATTATGCTGTAGTCACAATGGAATATTATTTGTCTCGGTCAGTTTCGCACAACATGATCATGTTTGTATACAATTGCTCGACAATATTGTTTTATCTGTCAGGCTTATCTTTGAGTATTTCCACCGCCGGATATAAAGATAGTCAGAGTTCTAAAAAGAATACATTTGTAATTAGCGAGTGTTACTCATGTTATCAGTTCAAACAATACACAAACAAGCTGTAAGACAACTCATTATCAGTTTCACCAAAGCTTAAAATGTTTTATCATTTGTTTTTCATTTTCAACGACTAATACATAGATATTATTTATGCCATTTATGGTTTTTCCATTCATTTTTCTTGGGTAAACAATGTTCTGAGTCTTGGGTTGTGAACATGTTGAAGTGGCGACGAAATCAATGGAAGAGTCGATGGAAGCGATTATTAGAGCAATTGAATTATCCTACCTCGATGTAATCATGTTGGAGCTTTGATACTCATGAGTTTCAAGCTGTTAACCCTACTTGCATTTTTATATTATCACCAGAAAGATACTTGTTTTTGTTTTCAGATCCGAAAATTCTATAATGATGAATGAATAATCCAATTATCACTGTGTGAATAGCGAGGTAGCTACAGAAAAATTAATGACTATTTCTAGAAAAATATCGAGTTTTTTTTTTAATAGCCTTCATAATTCAAATACTGGGTGTCCCAAGTTATCGTATACAGGCAATATCTCGCCTATTTGTCAAGATATCAAAAGCAATAAAAAACTGCATTAAATGGCATTAAATAACCTTCCTGATGGCTTATGAAGAATGTGATATATTTGGCAGCCCCCGGATGGTAGATAATGATCAGTTTTTATTTTCAAGTAGCATATTGTCTCTGAAAATTGCGTGTCAATCTATTTGGAATACAACGATATAGCACATACTTGAAACATGAACATTTTCTGACTTTTTTACGTTACTCAAATGACAAATTGCTTTCACCCATGTGTTCAAAATGTTCACAGATAAGAATTATGGATTGAATTCTTGTTTAAAAAATTTAATGACAGATATTCCATTTTGAACTGCAGAACATCAGTCATTGCAGACGGTACCTACCTAGTGTAATGATCAATCTAATTTTATTGTGGGACATTTTTACGAAAATGGGAGGAGGCAATTTTCAATCGATGTAAATGAGGTCATTGTTGATGTTGTTATCAATGAACAAAATACAAAGTACCGATGTTCTATCGTTCATTCCCAAAATAGGATGATAGGCAATTTTCAATGACAATATACAGGGAGTCCATACAATAAAAATTGAGGAGTTGCTACCAGGGGGCTGTTTAATCCAAAACACTTTTTTTGAGTCATGAAGAAAGTTCTTCGATGTCATTTGAAGAATTCTTACTATTTTTTGTTCATCTTGTCAAGAAAGCGAGTTTTTGCCGGTACCCATACGATAACTTGGGACACCCAGTATTAACATGAAATGGTAGTCATTGATTTATGATGATAATAATTGTTTACAAGATACTAAATTTTCTCACTGTCTCAGAGAATGTGTTCAACAGGTCGTATTATTATCTCTCCGCCATCATGGAAGATTATTTCAAATTAATGATAATTAATTTTCTGCTCTGACGAAGAAGACAAAAATGTTTCAATTCAGGTGGGATCGAGAATCAAATATCTACCTCAAATTCGTGGGTAGATATCGGACGACCTTTTTTTTTAAGAAAACCCGGCCAACTCCTCGAAGATGTTTTCAAGTTAAAGTTTACTTGATCAATGTTTTGCTATAGCATAATATATAATTGAAGCTCATTACGTTGATCTGAAATTTGGTGACTCAATCATTTTTGCGGAAACAAATATCCAGTACATTCAACTTCACCCCAAACAATATAGCTGGCGCTAGTTAGACTTCGCCGACTCGAGACTGCTGATAACCAATGACTTCCCAAAAATTGAACATCTCACCATATTAGTGGCGATCATGTGGCGATTGATGCAAATATTGCTCTCAAAGGCCTCGTTATAAAGCGATGTGCACGAATTCTTGAACAATTCATAGTTGCGAGCACTTGAAGAGTTCGCCATTAACAATTGATGCGAATTTCCCAAAGTCCTCTTCACAAGACGATGCGTGCGAAAATCTCAAACAGCTCGTAGTCGCGAGCACTTAAAGACCTCGCTAGAAGCAATCGATGCGAATATCCCAATGTCCTCATCACAAAGCAATGTATGCGAATTTCTCAAACAGCTCATGATTGCGAGCACTTTCAGTGGCGATTGAAGCGTATATCTCAAAGTTGAGTTCCTCCTCTATACACCACTTGTCCATTATATTGATAGCACTTGATGTGAGTTCCGAGACCGTACTTGCGAATCTATCTGTTGCAACAACCGCCAGGTCGTCGGCGTGTTCTAGGCAGTAATAATTATCTAATGATAGCCTTTTGATCGATCAGCTCACTCATCAAAATGGCCAATGGTACGGGCGATAATGCTCCTTCCTGTGAGCATCTCCTATCTGCTTCAGCTGTCAGTGTTGTCTCGTCAATTGTTGATATGATAACCCTATTCATCAAATCGGCATTCATCTACTGGCACAAAAGTAGCGGTACTCCTCTTCTTGAATAACGAATCTGTGGATGCGTTGTTGAACAAATGTTGTAGCTATTTCTTTGTCTTCTATCAACTTTGCCAGTAGCCTGTTCAGATCATCAAGTACTAAGTCAGTTGACTTGCCTGGCTGATACGCATATTGGCGTCCGTTAAGGTTGTTATACCTGGTATCTTATGTATCTGTCTATCAGCCTGCAGTTCTAGCGTTTTCAACAAAAACGACATCGAACTCATGGGGCAATATAATTGAGGCGTTTTGTCAGCCAACTTTCTTATTTGGGGTAGTTAGATGACCAACCAACTCCTTCTTCTGCCCCTTTTGAAGCAGAATGGAATATATTCCATCTGATCCAGGAGATTCATGAAACTGAAATTCATCAATTGCTCACTTTATTCTATTCGACCTGCCAATGGTGCTGTATGCCACTATCGGACCATTACCCCAGTAATAATAGGCCAATTTCCGATCAAACCCGGACATTGATAATTACAAAACGGGACCTTTTTCAGTTTGTTTAAACAACTTCAAGTAACACCCTCAAGAAAGTCCCACGACCTTCTAAGTGGGATAGCGAAAATATGAAGGAAAAACTGGATGAATTATGCTCAAAATCGACAATTTTGATATTATCTCCTTTTTGGTGGATCCAAGCTCAATAATACCTATTATCAATTTTATAGGAAACTGAATTCTCTACAAGTTTCATGAAAAACAGTTTTTCATACGACCAATATTGAAAGAGCTGCAGCGCTTTGAAATGGGGCAATTATCGAAAATACCATAATTGTTCGGTTGAGAATGACATTTTGCATAAATATTTTTTCATTAATCAAATATTGATCAATAGCATAAAATCTGGATGAATTATGCTCAAAATCGACAATTTTGATATTATCTCCTTTTTGGTGGATCCAAGCTCAATAATACCTATTATCAATTTTATAGGAAACTGAATTCTCTACAAGTTTCATAAGAAACAGTTTTTCATACGACCAATATTGAAAGAGCTGCAGCGCTTTGAAATGGGGCAATTATCGAAAATACCATAATTGTTCGGTTGAGAATGACATTTTGCATAAATATTTTTTCATTAATCAAATATTGATCAATAGCATAAAATATTCCTTCTGTTATGAATTTGGACTGATTAATAACGATCTTATGTGTTCGCACCAGTTATGCAAATCCTCGGATTTCTGAAGTTTTCCAGGAAATCAAAAATATTGGAGATAGGACTTATACACAATAATATTTTGATATAATAGTAAAAAACAGCTGACAAAGTAATCGAAATCTCAGTAGAATGAGGATACGACCCGGACATTAATAATTACCGGGACCTTTATTTGGTATGTTCGGATGCCTTCCGATATCCCTGCCAAAAATACCTTATGAAGTCTCATGAAGAAATATAGATAAAATATGAGTATTAATAAGGATATATAACCGAGTTCTGTAGCGTATGAGTACATTATCTCTGGCACATGAACTTTCTAAAAGGTTTAATGATATTTCATGAGTATATGTGATTTATAAGCGTATACAAATATGGAGTATGAGAGTTTTTATCAGGCACAAGTGGTTTGAGGAGCCTATGACCACCAATAAGATATTCCACTTCCAATTGGAAAAGTATTCTATGCACATTCATGCGCCTTAGTATATATGAGAAATGTGTAGGAATTTACAAATAGAATTCTATTGGGTATCTTCAGGAAAAAAATATATCAGGATTTTAGAGTTCCACTAAGGAATTCCTTATCTAATTTAATGCGATTTCTATTAGCATTCATGTGACTCAGAATAACTGAGAATTTACGAGTTTCAATTAGACAATGAATGCCTAATCTGAAATGTGTCCAATGAGTGTTTATAAGTCAACTAGTTTCTAGGTTTATGAGCTCAAATATGAAAACACGGTTCTAAAATTATAGGTTTCTTATCAGCTTGAATCCGGTAAATAATTATTGAGTAATCATAAGTTTTTGAAAGACAATATAGATATAATCTTTAACGTATTTCATGGGTTTTTGTGAGGGTGAAAAGTGTTCGATAAATTATGATATTCAATAGGGAACTGCTGCCATGATTCTATCGGTTGCTGATGAGCTTGTATGTGGTATATGTGGTTTCAACTATTCGAGATTTCTTATAAGCAATTACTGATCTATAATGAAACGTATCTTATTAGTCAAACTGAGGTAAGATGTGTTCCAGAATTCATGAGTGTTGATAAGGATTCACCGTTATAACTGTATTCGTATGTTATGATGTTTCATGCGTTATTTCTGTCTAAGAATTCTGGACAATACATGCCTAATCTGAATGGTATCTAATAAGTTTGTATGAGATGTGTTAGTTCTGAGGATTTTTGGGGTTTGAAAAGACATTACTGATTTGAAACGGAATGTATCCTATGGGTCATG